GGTGCGGGGAGGAGGGGGTGGCCGGGGGTCTGGCGTTTATAGGAGGCAGCTTTGAATGTTGTGTCTTCATTACATTACGTTCCTTCCAATTCCTAGCATTTCAACCCCGGTTTAAAGCAAATGGAGTAATCCCTGTGAACAGCTTTAACCGTTCTGGCTTTGTGTTTTGGGTTTTGTTTGTTTGTTTGTTTTTCCCCTTTTGTTTTTGTCACAGTTGAATTTCCAGCAGTCCTGTTAAACACTTCAACAGGAGAGATCGAATCTGAATTCCACACATATGTCCAGCCCCAGGAGCATCCTATTCTCTCTGAATTTTGTACAGAACTAACTGGCATAACACAGGTATAATCGCTATTTAGTATTATTTTACACCGTTATAATTGCTATTTACTATTTTTTTAAACATGCCTTTAAAGAGCTAAAGAGAAACAAATCCCAAATGAATTTCAGTGCATACTAACACATATGTACTTCTTGTTCTGTTTCATAAAGAATCAAGTTGATGAAGGGGTCCCTCTAAACATTTGTTTATCACAGTTTTTGAAATGGATCCAAAAGATACAAAAGGAGAAGAAAATTATATTCAGTTCAGATATTCCAAGTCATTCTACTTCAGAGGCAAAGCCATGTACCTTTGTTACTTGGACAGGTAAATAAAATTTTCATTTGCTTTTTCTGTGGAATAATACACATAAAAAATGAACATCTGGTGGTGCTAGTGAGATTGCGTCTTCACTTCTAGGGAGCCAAAATCCTGTTATTAGGTATTAAAGATGTGCAATATTGGGATAAGACTGAAAATGTGAAATCCATTGAATCCTGATGTGTTCACTACATCTTTTTCTCCAGGATCTGACATCGTTACATTTTTCTGCTTTACATTTAGTGAACTGCATCACCATTCTTAATATGTCTAAACTATTTAATGAGGTCTTTGAGATCTTTACCCATCATGAAGGCACTCTTTACTAACAACAGGCATTCACTTATCCTGATGTCCCATTGCAGCAACCGTAGTGCTTTTCATGTACAAAGGCTTCCTTAGCCTGCGAAGGCTGTTAGCCTATGCGTCCTGTCCAGCAGTACAGGACGCTACTAGTATGTTGATGGAGATATAGATTTTAAGCCATGTTTATGCAGATTTTAGGCCAGTTCTTTAGTGACGGATTATTTGTGGGTTTTTTCTGTGCAGACTGGGACCTGGGTGTGTGTTTGCAGTATGAGTGTAAAAGGAAGCAGCTGCGAAAACCTGACATTTTAAATTCCTGGATTGATCTCAAAGCAACATACAGGGTGAGAAGATCAATAGACTGTGAAACATTTATACCCATATTATCAAAGGCTAACTGTATCTGAGGTTACAAGCCAATATTGTATGTTCCAGTGACTAGAGTAACCCATTTGGTTTCTTTCCGTGTTGTTATTGCTCAGCAAATTGCATGCCCTAGAACTGTGTGAATTTTAATAGAAATCTTAATGGTAGGAAAACAACATGGTGTTATTGTTGATAAATGAATGATAATCCTAGGACAATTTTTTGAGCTGCCTTTCTTTTCCTGACATCTTTTGCTCTGCTTGCTTCCTAACTTCCCTGGTTTTGTGTGCTCTTATTGCTGCCTTACATTGCTGTACGGAAAATAGTCATCACCATCTGTGTAGAGGTACTTAAAGGTCTAGCATGTGAACTGTACTTGGACCAGAAAGTATATTCTGAACAGCACGAATAATACTGAAAAAATAAAAGTATATTTTATTACACAGTCTATACTGCAATAGAGTTCTAACTTGGGGGCTAAAAGCACCTAAGTGTACCTTGCCCTGTGTAGTCAAGGAAACTTTCAAAGGGTGACCCAGGGGTCTACCCTTCCTGACACTTGGAGCTTAGGCTCTTAACCTAGGTAGCAGAATTAGGTCTCTAAAGATAAACAGAATCTTCCCCCTTTCTTCTGATCAAATGAGATACTGGGAGTGAGTAGCAATACTCACTTTTTCTCATTTAAAAAGAATTTATACCTATGCCAAATATATTAATGCCCATGCCTTTGCAATGTGCAACAGTTTAAACCTCTAAAGATATTGTTTATAGTTGTATTCTTCAATGCTGCTCTGTTAAGGCCTTCATCAAGGTAAGCCATAAAGTGCAAATGAATGACTCCAGAGCTAAGACAGAATTGATGAGTTTAAGACTGGGAGAAAGGATTCATGGTTCTTCCCATTCCAATTTGTAACAGGGTAAGTCACTGACTGTCTTATGCTTATTTATCCCAACTGTAAATGAAAATACCAGACTTGCACAATTGCCTTGTGAGATTTATTATTCATAAAGTGATATTTCTGAAATGGTTTTCACTTCACTATGAAGAGGTTTTGAAATGCTTTATGTTAAGCACCTGCATTTTTTTCCTTAGGTCTTCTACAATAGGAAGCCTAAAGGGCTAAACGGTGCTTTGCAGGATTTGGGGATGGCTTTTGCAGGACGAGAACATTCTGGTAAGTATGATATGATGATCCTCATTTTAATATATATATTTTTTGTAAAGCTAAATAGCTACTATTTAGCTTTAATTAGCTAAACTAAAGCAGCTAGTAAGAGCTAGTCATTACTCTAAATAGTAACTATTATTTCCAGGTTATGCAATGTTCTGTCCTACAAAAATATCAAAACAAGAAAGGCTAGATGCTTCAAAGATTAGAGTTTGTCATTTCTAACCTCATGCTATATTTCTGAAATCTCTCCTAGCGCTATTGAGTGCATGTTCAACAAGATCAATCTCTGAATTGCTAGGGCGCAAAAGAAAAGAAGTGGAGGAAGGATAAGAAAAATTGATTTTACCAGATAGCTCTGGACAGCATATTAGTGTAAGAGAATACCAGCATAATATGAATTTTTTTACATGATTAATAAAAACAGAGCAAGGATTTTAAAAATTGTGGATATATATTCAGTTCTATGGATTGGTCCTTCAGATGTTTCAGCACAGGGAATTTTTTACTTCTGCTTCCCTTTTTTGAACTAGATAACTATGTGTCAGAGTTCCATGAATCCCTGTCACTCATGTAAGGCTTACCTAGATGACATTTTTCCTCCAATAAGAACTAGCCCCAGTAGTAGTTTAAAAAGAAGACATTAATATAACCATACTTTTGAAGGGTTGGATGATTCTCGGAATACTGCCCGTCTTGCTTGGAGGCTGATTTGTGATGGATGTGTGCTGAAGGTTACTAAATCTTTGGATAAGGTTAGTAACTACTTCCTATCTTCCCTTCTACTTGCTTTGTTGCCCGGAATACAGATGAGGGGTGAGCTACTCAGATAATAAACCCAGCATCTTGAACAGAACATCCCTAGGCTAATACGCTTATTAATTTTGTGCATTGCTTCCTAAAACTTCTGGGTATTCACTTTCCAAAATCTCCTTTTGTTTACGGACTCCCTAGGCACATCCAAAGAATAATTCAATTTCCAGAACACTGACTATAAACTTCACTGACAAGACTCCACTGGGAAGTAAAAGCAGACCTGAAACATCTAGAAACGGAACTTGCGAAACAAACTCTCTGGCTGAGAAAAACCACAACGGTATTGCTGGAATTAAGATAAATTCTAATGTACAAACTGAAGAACATCAGACCACTTGCACTGATTCCTCTGCAGATGTCCACGTTGTTCCTAGCAGCAGCTCAAGGACTGATTTACATGCTCAAGCCCAAAGCTCTTTAGCAGCATCTACTGACAGATTTCTTGTTCCTCTTGAACAGGCGCAGCAATCTCGCAGCACTGTGTCAACAGGCATTCGGCAAGAATTGAACAATGGGCAACCTCTGAGTACAGCCAGATATAGCCCTCCAGTACATGGATCAGGACTGGTGCTCGTCTCAACTACCATCTCCTCAGTTAATATCTCCAATGAGGATATCAGTACTAGTTCCGATTGCTTATCTCTGTTGGCTGACTGGGAAGATGTCGCTTTAATACCAGAATCTCAATATGAACAAAATTCAGACTGTGTTCAATTCAAAGATGACTCAATTACAGATATTTTAACAGTGTTTGAAGAGAAAACAATTTCAAAACAATCGGCTGTGATGAATTCAGATAATCAAAGTTTGGAGAAAACCGTAGCACCTGTGGAACCTCTGAAATCTATCATTTACAGAAGTCCTGACACTACTATCTATAATGTAGGAACAGTACAAAGGCAGACTTCAAATTTTTCAGCTTTTAAGTTACCATCTGCAAAGGTAAACGCTATTTCAGCACAATCAGCATTAATTGGAAATTATTCTGCTCCTTCAGAGGTTCCTAAAAGAAAGCCAACTAGTCCAAAAACGTTCCCACCAGCAAAAAAACAGTCTTTTGCTATATATAAAGAGAAAACTGCATCTTTTGATCATTCCTTACCTTTAAGAAGTTCAAATTTGCCCAGATTGTCTCCTGCCATTCTGAACTCCGCAGTCAATTTGAATCAGACTGTAAGAGCTGTGAAAAATGGAAAACCAACTCCCCCTCTGTGTAACTGCGGTCGAAGAGCTAAAAAACTGTATGTGTCAAATGCTGGTCCAAATCACGACAAAGCATTTTTTTGTTGTCCTGTTGGCAAGCATGAAGGTAATAAGAAAGGTTGTGGATACTTCAAGTGGGAATATGCACTTCTAAAAGAGAAATCTAATGGTTTCACCCTGAATGCGGATGCTTTGACCTCTCTTGGAACTTACACCAGTAATTTAGGAAATTCTTCCAACAAAAAATATTTGTGTCTTAGACCCTCTATGAGAACTTGAAAATTGATAATTTTTTTTGTCTGCATCTTAAACTCAGTAAGTTGATCATGCTTAATATAATCAGGATAGTCAAATGATGTCAGATACATGTTCTGAGAATGGGACAAAAATGACACTGCTCAGTTAACATAGAAATGGAAATTGCTCAAGCATACTTTATGATATATTGATATTTTTGTATCTCGTTAATGAAGTGTGAGGGAACAGATAAAACTATATGAGCAGCTGTTGCTACAAATATTAAATTTCTGCTTTATCACGTATTTTAAATTCTTTACTAGTCCAGTCCTTAAAGAACATTTTAATGATACAGATTTTATTTACACTTTTTTTCTAAATATACTTGTAATGATAACTAACTTTTAAAATTGTATTTAGAAGTTGTCGCACTTCTCAAGTGCGATTCTTGAAGCAACAGTGTTCTCTTAAAGTCTTACTGTTTTTTTATCCTTTAAAGGAAATAATTAAATAATTAAATAAAAAAAGTTAAAATGCTGGTGACGCTTCATTAGACACTTTATTTAACACACATCACCTATTGCGCTCTTGACTACATGAGTTTCCCATTTCATTTGTATCAGTCTGCCTGCTTTTGTACTATTAGCTATTAGTGTAGCACCTGGAATCAGGTAAGAATTTATTCAAACCTAAACTAAGAAGGCTATAGTATAATGTCTTTTACTCTATGTTACTGTGTAAATCTGCCATATGTTACTTTGTAAAAATCCTATAAAAAAGCAGCAAATACTTCTAATCTTTCCTCCACTCTTTCTGGCGCAGTTCATTTCTTCTGATCTTCCCACTAATAGTTTTTGGCAACTGTTGAACAAACTCCATCTATTGTGAAAGAGAGGAAATTGCAATACAAAATAAGATGCAGTTTACCTAAATTTTTACTTTTTCTTAACCTCAGCAGCATAAACTTCTAAGCCACATAACAGTTAACACCCACTGTCTTATGGCAGTGAAAATTATTTGGGTATTTGAGTACTCACCTTCCTAGGATACTTGTATGGAGCAGTAACTTTCTTAACATGGTCTTGTAGCTCTTTCTTCATTTTTTCCGGGTCATGTGAAGCATAGTCAGATGTTAAAACAACAAAGGCTTTCACTACCTAAAGAAGTTACGGCAGCAATGGTGTAAATGCCAATGAAACAGTATTACACAACGGTAAGATCTGAAACTTTAACGAACCATTTGCTGACACACTGCAGAGTAACATATAGGGCAGGTAGAGAAAGCTTTGCCGAAGTCTGTGGGTGCTCACTATTGGTCTGGACTATGCCAGCAGTTCATATACATTTAATAAAGACAAAAAACTGTAACTATTTGAATAACAGGGAAAGCTTCAAATGGTGCTTTTGTTATATAGGATTTGATGCAATTGCCTTGGTCAGTTTTTTCCTGTGTGGATTCTCCAGTGCCTGATAGAGTAGAAATGCTGACTTGAATTTATTCAGTTTTAATTCAAAAAAGAAAAAAAAATCCCTGGATAGACAAATCCCTTGGAAGTTGGGCTTTATTAGCTCTGGTATGCCCAAAGCTATTTAAATATATAAGCTTGTTTAACTTGTTTACCTCTCCTCTGATGGGGTCTGGACTGCTGACAACTGCTGATTCCATCACTGCAGGATGCTCTACTAGGGCACTTTCTACTTCAAAGGGTCCAATACGGTATCTTTAAAACAGAGGAAAGGGTTTTTAGTTGTATTTGATAACATGTAAACATAACTTCACATCTGAATCATTTGTGTTATTCAAATTTAACGATTTATTGTTAATCAGTCTTAAATTACCCGGCAGAATTAATGACATCATCAGCTCTTCCAACAAACCAGAAGTATCCATCCTCATCCATAATCCCCCTGTCTCCAGTGACATAAAAATCCCCACGTATTGTTGCCTCTGTTTTCTCTGGATCATCCTAGGAAATATTAAATTGCATTTTACATGAAAACTACCTTAAAAATACATGAAATTGCATTCTAATATATTTAGGATATAAGTTATGGTACAGTCAAATATTCAAAAATTTCAGCTTTTCAGACTGGTCCATACTGTGGTCATGTGCATCAGATTCAAGTGGGACATTAAGAATAGAGAATTATTAATTCACCATTACTAAGCTACAAAACTAGATACAAAATTCATAAATTGCAATAAATGAATCAAGTTTCACTACTTGTGACTGACTTAAAATTTTAATCATAATATATTTTGCCCCACGGCTTTAGGAACCACTGACAGTTGCAAAAATATGTAGGCTTATGGAACTGAGAATTTGCTTTTAGGTGATTATCCTTTAATGATTTTTTCCTTTGTATTTCTAGCATCTCCTATCCTGAGATTTCTTTTTTCTCACCCCCAGAAAAGTTTTGGCTCAGCATAGCGCAATTAATAAGCGTTCTTTCCACAGCCAATGCAACTGACTTCTGCAAGAGTGTTTCTAGGCAGTATGCATCGTGTTCCTTTCCCATATGCTCAGTACTGCTCAGAAGACCTGATTATAAGCTGATACTATCCGTAACATTTAATAAGGTTTCCTGGTGTCAGAACTGAAAGCATTATGCATTTGTTCTACTGGTTGATGGACTGAAAATTCTAAAACATGGCAAAAAAACCCCTGGAAAATATTGCTGTGCATGAAACACTCCATGAAGCTCAAATCTGGAGGGAAGGGATTTGAACAGTGTCCTAATTCTCAGATGGGGGCTCTAGCCCTTAGGCTAGAGTATTTTGGGACTAGGGGGTCCATCAAACATTTCCCTTTTTATTAAGGAAATAACAATCAAAAGAAAGTGGATTTTAACTTGCTAGGCAGGACAATCTTATCGAATACATAGTTGTTTGTATAAGTAGACCAAGCATCTGCAGGAAAAAAGGAAATCCTTCTTTCCTCCCCACAGGTTTTCAGACTGGTAAGCAGAGTATATGTAAATGAAATGGGGCATCAGCTTCTCATGATCAAATCTCTTGTGACAGAGATTTAACAGGATATCTACAGGAGATCTACTTTAACTGTAGAAATATTCTTACAGCATAGCAAGTAAAAAGAAAAAGTGATCTCGTAGGTTTTACTCTGATGGCAATATCTCCTTCTTTTCCAGGAGGCAGAATATTACTGTTTTCATCTATAATCTAGAAATAAACAAAACACAGTTTTATTACCTTGAGGCCAAATGAAAAAGCATTATGTTAAGATTATAGAATCTTGGTGCACATTTAAAATATATAAAGTATTTTTTTAATTGGGAAATGATTTGGAGCAGTAGGGGGTCTTACTCTGACAACTGAAGTGTAAGATTATTACTAATCCGCTGTACTTTGCACTATGTCTTTTATCTGAGGAATGCCAAGTACTATGCAAACATGTAATGAAGTTAGAAAGACCCCAAGAAGGATCACAAGTAACTGGGTGGGAGAACTTAAGAACTGAAAGAAAGATACTAAAAATTTTAATCCATATTGCCAATTGATCTGGTGCTAGAATCTGCTTCCGCAATTTTGTTATCACCAGGAAACAACACTTACTCCCACTCTTCCTTAACTCAGCAATTTAATTTTGCCTTGAAGTTTGATATCTAACTGTCAGTCAGTTAGCAGTGGGTTGTCATCTATGTTGGTGAGGATGGTGCAACAGGGAAGTCCAACTGCTTATCTTACACGCTCAGTTTAGGGCAGTTACATGCATTTCTTCATGCTTTCATTCACTGCTGAGTGATGGTACGTGGTACAACTCCGTGTTAGAGCTTTCAAACCTCTTCAATGGAAAGTGATTATGCAAGGGAGAGAGATTGAGTCACCAGATGTACGATACCTTGACATCATACACTGGAGACGGCTTTCCCATAGAGCCAGGTTTGATTTTCATTCCCTTAAAATTTCCACAGATCAGCACCTGTAACAAGTGTTGGGTTTGGGTTTTTTTAAAATTAAACTGTGGCTTGTATATTCAATCTTTAGCTTAGGTTTAAAATACTCAGCTAATATTGTGTATTTCTACGAGAATACTAATTGTCTTCATTACAATCATATATCCAATGATTAAACTTCTAGAAATACAACTATGCCCTCAGAATCTTGCCCACAGCTCCAAATAACGTGAGTTAGTGTTCTACAGATAGATTGTAAAGCAGAATTTGGAATGCAGTAATGAGGAATATACCCCTTTTGTGTTAGTTTCCAATCCAAAGCCCACAGGAATGAAAAACAGTCCTTGGATGTTGGATGAAGCTGTTATGATCGTTCTATGACTTACAAAAACTACATTTTTCCAGTGTTGCTTATTGCAATTGACTTTTCCCCTAAAAGTCATAACGTATAATCATTTTAATCATTTTTTCTTGGCAACCTGAATAGAATTTATTGCTGTATCTGTAAAGCATACATTTTTACATTTGTAAAGCAGAACATACCGTTTCTGTCTGTCCATAGCCTTCATGAATATCCAGCCCAGTCTGGGCTTTCCATTCTTCCATCACGTCAGGGTTGATTGGCTCCCCAGCACTCACACAGTGCCGCAGGCTTTTGAATGTATAGCTTAGTGGGAAAGAGAAAACAAATAATTGGCAATCATCTATCTGCTATGCCCCATTCACTCCTGTATTCCTGTATTGTGGGGTTCTTTCTGCATAAGAACAAAATTTTTACTGAGTCCTATTCATTCCATTTGAACTGTATAGTGTTAAACAAAAACAAATCTGAAAAAAAAATAGTTACGCTACCCCTAAATCTTTATTCTGACTTTGTTCCTAATACTTAAGATTCAAAATGTTGAGAAATACATGATCTAAGTTACTGTTATGCCATTGTAAATTTGGAATAAAAATCAAGGTGAGATGAGCATTTGGTCTACTGTTTTGATCAAATACACTAACAAGGATACTCTGCTTTTGCTTACCTGGACAGTTTATGTTGCACAAACATTCGATAGGCAGTTGGAGGAGAACAGAAGACGGTTATGGGAAATCTTGACAGACTCTAGAGAATTCAGAATGAA